TACTTTACTTTGTATTATAATTGTTAATTTCTGCTTCATAGGATTTGAAATATCAAATGATGTTTCCTGTGCTGATGCCAACCGTAGTGAAATTATTCATCTTATAACATTCAGATTTCTCTGCTAATTACTGGCAGAAAACCAACTAGTTAAGATACAAGTTTGACTATTGCAAAAGAAATACTTTATCTATAGAACATAACTGTAGCTTACAATAGAAGAAAATGATCTCTTCTTCCCATCTTATCAATGTGGCAAATCAAGGGAAACAAAAGACAAGGTTAAAAGACGAGACTGTTATATAACGGAATCTTTTGCTAGTTTACAGGGGCCTGCCTTAAAGTTGGCTTTAAAAACAAACAAACAAACAAACCATACCTTACTATTTATACTAGCTTGTTTGTACATACTATCTCAAAAGTTTATAAATGGTCCATCTGGATTTTGAGTTAGCTGTGCAAACATTGTGGGTTACTTAAAAAAGAATTAGAGAAATTAGAAACTCAAGCCATTCTCAAAGCACATACTTTCAAAATATAAAATATGAATTGTCTAGAATTTTGGGTTATAAAAAAAGGACACAAAGTACTGTGGTGGACTTAAAACCATATGCACTCACAACCTTTACAGATTAAAATTAATTATCATCTGCTGTTACTAATAATGAAACCCATTCCTTTTTTCCATAAGATAAGTGTGCTCATTAGGGGTTGAACCTTGTAAAGTGCTCAGTACATCTAGGAGGTACTCAGCAACTCGCAGGAGTAAGCCCCCATACACATATTCTATATCAGATAAAAGCTCCAAAACTTTCTGAAAATCTTTAATAAGAATCAAGTTCACATGAAGAAGGATAAAGCACTGAGGTTCCTTCTAAAATGCGTGGCAGCATAGTCCCACAATCGCTTAATCACCCCTGTCTAGTCAGGTAGCACCATACATTGAACAACCACAAGTGGCCCACCCCAGGCAACTCAGGCATGGGCTTGCATAGATTTCCTAGCTCATGTTCGCACAAATAAATGTAATAGCAAATTTTCCAATATTCGTTTTAAAAATTTCTAGACTGTAGAGACTGCAGTAGATATAAAGCAGAAACCAGGTTCCCCTATTTTGGAAAAAACAAACAAAACAAAACAAAAAAACTTGTGTGGGACTTAATATTGTAGTTCTTTTAATAGAGTTGTAAAGTAAGATCATCTGGAATCTAAATCCAAATGAGGGAATACCAAGAAAGACAGTGAAGGTACACTTGGGTGTAATTTCATGCTGGTGATTTTTTGTTTAATGTAAGCAGCTAGTCTTAGAGCAAATTTTAAACTAAGCACGTAATACAGTGCGGGGCCCTGCAGCTCCCATGAGGCCCTGCACCGCCCACAAGGCCGGCTGCAGTGCCGGCCCCTGCACTGGTGCCGTATAGGCCATTGGGTGCCCCGGTACCGGGGCCGTCGGTGCCGCAAATGCACTCGCTCCCAGTGCCGCTGCCGCTGGACGGGGCCAGGGTCGAGGCTGGTGTCTGTCCTGACTCCGGTGCTGGTGCTCTTGCCGGCACCGGGAATTGCTGCTGGTGCTGGCCTGAGGCCTGCACCTCACCCAGAGAGTCCCACGGCCCAGCTGTCGGAGCCTGCTGGGGGGCGCTTGAGCCCTGCACTGGCGCTCTCCTCCCCTGCGGCACTGGGCTCTCTCCTTCCTCCGCGGCCATCTAAATGAGGTCTTGGGCTGCCTCAAAACGTTCTAGGGTGCTGGGATGGACCTCCCCTATCCCCGTGGCCTGCCCCGGGCTCCTGCCACTGTCTGGGCTGCGCCTCTTCTTTGAGGCCTTAGAAGACAAGTGCCCCTCAGAGCGCACCTTCTGGCCACTCCTCTCCTTTGAGCGTCCCCTCGAGCCCTTGGAGCCTCTCGGCACCAGGGACTGCGAGCTATGCCTCGGTGCCTTATCGGCCTCTGACCGGTGCTTAGCCGACACGGGTGCCGCTGATGGCGCGCTGCAGACCGAGTGGGGGCGCTCCTTGCCTTGGGGCTGCAGTGCCGACTCCATTAATAGGAGTTTCAACCGGGAGTCACTCTCTTTCTTGGTCCGGGGCTTAAAACTCTTACAAATAGAGCTGCTTTCTGCTCGATGGGCTTCTCCCAGGCACTTCAGGCAGTCGGAGTGAGGATCTCCACAGGGCATAGGTTTCGAGCAAGAAGTACAGTGTTTAAAGCCCTGGAATGCCCTCCCCTAACGGGGAGAGTCCCACTATGCTCCCCTATCTAACTAATTACACTATTTACAGTACTTAACAGCTACTTAACTAGATAAAACCACCAATTTAAACATAGTACAACAGATAAAGGAAATACAATCACTAAGAGATAGGCTAGTAGCCTGAAAGCATGCTCCAGCTACCGTCACCGGCGGTAAGTAGGAACTGAGGGGGTGGAGGAGCCAGCAGGGGTATATATGCACTGGTATACCAGCACCACTCCAGGGGGCTCCCTGCTGGCCCTATGGATACTGCTAAGGGAAAAAAGTTCCAGAATCCATGCATGCGGCACGTGTACACCTAATCAGAATGGACATGAGCAAGCACTCGAAGAAGAACATATATATTTCATTACTTTACTTTGTATTATAATTGTTAATTTCTGCTTCATAGGATTTGAAATATCAAATGATGTTTCCTGTGCTGATGCCAACCGTAGTGAAATTATTCATCTTATAACATTCAGATTTCTCTGCTAATTACTGGCAGAAAACCAACTAGTTAAGATACAAGTTTGACTATTGCAAAAGAAATACTTTATCTATAGAACATAACTGTAGCTTACAATAGAAGAAAATGATCTCTTCTTCCCATCTTATCAATGTGGCAAATCAAGGGAAACAAAAGACAAGGTTAAAAGACGAGACTGTTATATAACGGAATCTTTTGCTAGTTTACAGGGGCCTGCCTTAAAGTTGGCTTTAAAAACAAACAAACAAACAAACCATACCTTACTATTTATACTAGCTTGTTTGTACATACTATCTCAAAAGTTTATAAATGGTCCATCTGGATTTTGAGTTAGCTGTGCAAACATTGTGGGTTACTTAAAAAAGAATTAGAGAAATTAGAAACTCAAGCCATTCTCAAAGCACATACTTTCAAAATATAAAATATGAATTGTCTAGAATTTTGGGTTATAAAAAAAGGACACAAAGTACTGTGGTGGACTTAAAACCATATGCACTCACAACCTTTACAGATTAAAATTAATTATCATCTGCTGTTACTAATAATGAAACCCATTCCTTTTTTCCATAAGATAAGTGTGCTCATTAGGGGTTGAACCTTGTAAAGTGCTCAGTACATCTAGGAGGTACTCAGCAACTCGCAGGAGTAAGCCCCCATACACATATTCTATATCAGATAAAAGCTCCAAAACTTTCTGAAAATCTTTAATAAGAATCAAGTTCACATGAAGAAGGATAAAGCACTGAGGTTCCTTCTAAAATGCGTGGCAGCATAGTCCCACAATCGCTTAATCACCCCTGTCTAGTCAGGTAGCACCATACATTGAACAACCACAAGTGGCCCACCCCAGGCAACTCAGGCATGGGCTTGCATAGATTTCCTAGCTCATGTTCGCACAAATAAATGTAATAGCAAATTTTCCAATATTCGTTTTAAAAATTTCTAGACTGTAGAGACTGCAGTAGATATAAAGCAGAAACCAGGTTCCCCTATTTTGGAAAAAACAAACAAAACAAAACAAAAAAACTTGTGTGGGACTTAATATTGTAGTTCTTTTAATAGAGTTGTAAAGTAAGATCATCTGGAATCTAAATCCAAATGAGGGAATACCAAGAAAGACAGTGAAGGTACACTTGGGTGTAATTTCATGCTGGTGATTTTTTGTTTAATGTAAGCAGCTAGTCTTAGAGCAAATTTTAAACTAAAAGTTGCATATTCATTGATACACACATGACTCGGAACATAAGTGACTTAGCACATTTGTACACATGCTTACATAACCTTAGTGAGAAGTATTTACATATTCAAAGTTTCATTTTAACAGCTGAAATTTAAACACATGAAAGCATATTAGCTACTACAAAAATGCATAATGGGATCAAATTTTACACTAGCATAAAACACATTTTAAAGTACTTTCTGGGTATTTCAAATTAATTATTTTCTATATGGTCTTGTGTAGCATACTTTCAGTCATTACAAAATTAATTTAATCATTTACTTATCTATTTGCAGGTACATTGTCAATTAAAAAAAACTAGCATGAACTTTTACTTGTACACAACTTTTATGCTCTATCAACATAATTGCATACAATCATAAATTCAAATGAAGTTCTCAAATACTTTGGTTTAATCTTAGTTGGGAATAAGTATTTGATGCAACACAAATCACATCCGCCACCCTAACTTTGCTGAAGAAACAAAGACATTGATAGCGTTCTTTGGTAAAAATGTTTGGGGCATTTTGTATGCATTTGTGTTTACCAAAAAGTGGTCTCTCTGATACTGTTGTACTGTCAGTTTACAGACTTAAAAAGCTATTCCAATTTAGTGAAGAATATAAAACTATCAATTTAGTAATCAATGAAAATTGGCAGAGACAACATCTGCAACTACTACAAGGGATCAATAGTATTTCTGAACCCCCCTTTATTTTAAACACTTATCTTTTATTTTGTAAATACTTGAACTACAGCCTGTCTATTATTTTGCAGGTAAAGTAGAAACATTGTTAGGATTCTGAAAAGTCACCTAACAGAGTCAAAGATGAGACAGTATTTAACTGCAAAGTATTTGTGCATCAACTACAATACATACTAGGCAAAGGCTATTAAAAAGAAAATCAGTTAACTGCTACAACAGAAGCTATGCAAATATAAAACAGAGCAGATATAACACTGAACATACCGTACTTTATTAGCACAAAAAGCTGTAACAAGGCACAGCAAGCAGAAAAATACATTGATTGAAGGGTTAGTGTTGCATACAAGAAAAGTTATTCTTGTATTTGCAGCCATAAGGTTCTCTAACTCATACAGTCACTGCCATGGAGAAGTAACAACATACTGTAGCAGCTGGTAAAGAAACTAGGGAGCAGGAAAGTGGTACAGAGCACATTTCAAAAAGGGGTTGGCGATTCCAACACAATTTTAGTGCAAAAATATCCAGGACAGAACAGTTGGAAACTCTTTGATTAAATAAGTTTAATCCACTTATTTAATACTGGAAACTTCTATCCAATAATAAAATAAAAAACAGAAGTTTAATTTCAAGTAGTTTGTTCAAATGGTATCAGCACAAACATTGCAAAAAGGTGCTAAATGGAAAAATATTATTTATAAACAAAATAAACAGTAACCTTTGAAACCTGCTATTTACTACAGTTATGTCTTTTTTTTAAAAATTGTATTAAGTTATACTTTAGCTATGAACACTTTCAGCATAAACAATGTTAAGTAGAGTTTTAAATTAAGCATTTCTCCTCAACATCATTTGCAACTGAGACATAGATGTCAGGTCACTAACTCCTATAACCTGGGAAATAGGGTTTCCTGGATTAAGGAATTGTTGCAGAATATGGATGGTGCTGAGGCAGGGTCTGAGAAGGAAGGGGAGTGTAAGGGGTATGTGGATGGGGCACTTACCTGGTGCTCCACTCCAAAGGGCACACATGGCTCTGTGCTCCCTGCCGCACTCAGACACAGCCCTCCGCCACTATGGGAGCAGCAGAAGAAAAGCATCTGGGGAAGCACTTCGCTGCACTGCCATTCCCTTAACTGAGGGAAGGGGATGCAGCAGCATGCAGAGCCGCTTCCTCCTACCTCTGTCATGGTACAAACTACAGGTGTTCCCGGATCAGGGACATCCAAAGTACGGAGGTTCAGGTATATTTAGCTTTTAGCGAAGTATACAGACTGTTTTAACTAATGGCAATAATCAAATTTGAACAAACTTTCATTTTTAAAAAATTTCAAATAGCAGATTTTTAACTGCCTGTCCAAGATAGTATTAATCTTGCTAATAATGCCACTTGAATCCGTGAATGTTCTAAATACAAGCCCACTTCTGATCAGACATGTTCAAGCCCTTATCAAAAGGAAACCTGGTGAGCTAACTAACTGTGAATGATTTTTAGCATCCAAAAACTCTTAATGTAGCACAGGCTTCCCATGCTGCTAAAAAAATATTTAGAGATGTTTCGTTTCTTGACATTTGGAAACTTGTTTGGAAGGAACAATTAAAAACTTTTCAAAGATGAAAAGATTTTGTTGAAAAAAATTAACCACCACTCAAAACATTAAAATAGTCAACCAATAAAAAAAATGAGTTTTTGTTCTTTAGCATCAGATGAAATGCCCCATAGTTGCTTCACCCAATTACTACAGCTACAAATTTAGAAGTTAGCAACAAATACTTATGTAGACCTTAATGTAAAGCACATCACTTTGTCTCTGCTTACTGTATTAAGAAGCATCACAACATGATTGGTGTAACAGCACACAGGAACTGACATACTAAATATACAGTATTGCAAAAAAGCGGATGTGTTTGCCAAGTTAAACTAATGCGCGCGCGCACACACACACACACACACACACACACAAAAGGCAGCGCAGATTCTAGTAAGCCTACTGGGGACTTTCGGTTTACTTTGTCTTAATGGGTTCCCGTTCCAACCATCGCACCCGGACTTTTTGTTTATAGTGATATTCCTTTAGAAAGTCTTGCAACATTGATGGTAAAGGGAGACCATCAATTCCATCATATGTAGTGCACCTGCAGATTACTGCCCGGCAGATATACTGCAGACTAAAAGGAAAAGTCCTGTTCAGAGATACAGTAAGTAATGGTTCAAAAAACATGCAAGAACTAGGATCTTTATAGTGTTCTAGAAGTCCTGTAACTGTGGAGGAGTGAAATACACAGGGATCGTGAGCATCAAAACTAAAGTTGTGATTCCATTGCTCAATACGTGCATGTAGGGATCGGTTATAACGACGGAAGCTCACAGAAAAGAGATAGTCCTCTTGTGCAGAATCCCTGAGCAAAAAAGTGCCTTCAGGTTTGCCTTCCAGGAGAGCCTCTGCTTCATAACGGTCCATCACACCCCAATAACATGGGTTACCTGTTATTTTAAGCAAGTCTGGCACAAGGCAGTGTATGTAATCAATTTGCGTGTGTACTTTCCAAGCTCCTTGTCTGTTACTATGGATATGGCTCTCTCCAGACACCTGACGTTGCTTTTGCCTGCGAGACTGCAAGCAGAGTGTTGTTGCATCCTCTTCATGTTCACAGTTTCCCTGTAGTGTTGCACTATTGTCTCCAGTCAGCTCAGTCATACCTGGGGCTAACTTTGGTCCCAATTTATATAATGGATTAACCTGTGCTGTAGTTTCAAAAGTATGTATTTGGGCATTAGGAGGGGGATCCACCCCTTCTTCAATACTAAGCCTACGTCTCTCTCTAAGTCGGTCTTCTTCATCTTCTGTGGAAATCAAGGAAGGATCAAATGTATCAAAAAAAGTTGAATGAGGACTCACGGGAGCTGTATGTTGCTTAATCAGATGCCACTTTTGGGCAAGGTCAGATCCAGCAGGGAAAGGACATTTCTCAAGCATTAGTTCAGAGAGATGAATCTTTCTTTTATTAGAAAAGATAGGTTTTGACCTCTTGCTATAAGTTTTCATGGGAAAACATAACCCAACAGTATCCTGAAGCCGCTGTCGCAGAGAACGGCTACCTACCGTCCTGTTTGATACACTCTCCATATCATGAACAGAGCTCACGCCGTATCTTCGCTCCCTCCTTTGGAAGCCACTTCGTGTTCGACCAAATCTTTTATCATTATCCATTGAGCTTTGGGTTTTTGTAGAACAGGAATGTTTCTTCTTCCCACCCCAAGGAGCATGCCGGGAATAGGAATCTCTTCGTGCAAGTCTAGTTCCTGTGACACACGTGTCATTATCTTTCTCAATGCTTATTTCAACAATTTGAGGGATGTCAGTGACACAATTCTGATTTCTCTTCGCTGAATTCTTTGAAGGACTTAAACCCAGTTGTAAGGCAATGTTCTCTCTTAGAGGGCTGCTTAGTTGCTGCTGAGCCAAATCGGGCACATGGATACTTCGGTCTTTAACAGAGGAATGCCTACTGGAGTCTACATCTGTGTTTTCATTTCTGTTTCCACCTTCATGATTGAAGAGATTCTGGCATCTGTATTTGAAGTTGTTCCACATCTTTCCCACTTGATCCATGGATTATGTTACCTAAATTCAAAGAGGATGAAAAGATTAATTAAAATTATTAAAAATAAAGATACCTATCTGATTAATGTAGCAATAGCATTCAAATGAGCTAGAGGTATGGAGAAGATATTAGTTAACTGAAAAATTTAGAAAAAAAAATTAGTGCCTGCATAATCTTGTAGTGCTATTCTATTCATGTTGCATTATTTGAAGATTTAAAAAACAAGAATAGCAAAGAAAAGAACGCAGACAAGCACAAGTGACTAGTTTCCAAGAAGCTGCAGAATAAATGAATCTCACTTTACAAAAAGCCTTTCCCCACCCTACACCTAATCCCAAAATAGCCAAAAGCCCAAAAAAGCATTAATGGAAACAAGCACTATGATAACTTTTCAGTTTTGATATTTACATTTGATGGGCACATAAACATCTCTATAAAAAACAAAGAAAGAACAACATAAAGCCAATATTGCTGAAGTTAATTGTGTATTTGAGCCTAAAGCTTGTTATTTACATTTTATAATTACAATACATGTAAAGTTTCCAAGTCTTCAAATATGAGTGTCAGATATCTGTAAGTGACTCCCTAAAGAGGAGTGCCAAGAAACGGTAGTAAAACAAATGAAAAATGAAGGCTAACACCATTGAGTAGACTCCAGCAGAGCAGTTATGAAATTAGAAAAATAAACACTCTTT